CATGTTGTTTTGTCTCTTAATCATTTATTTCTCAACATTATCATTTATTCATGTTATCAGCCTTTAAAATTTTGGCCTATAATTGATTATAGGACTCAATGGGGAAGGATGGGACTCAACTTCTTCGGCAGTGTGTTCGTATTCTTGTGCTAGTTTCAACTGATCTACTTGCAGTTCGCTTATCAGGTATATCTTTCTGTTCAGCTGTGGTATGTTCTTGCTCTTTTGAGTTGCTTTGTATATCATTCTTCTTCTTTCTTTCTTCCTTTCCTTCTCTCTCTCCCTCTCTCTCTCTTTTTAACAAATAAAAAACCTCTCTTCAACTATTTGAGAATTTTGCAGCTAACCAATGCAGCTCGTTGATAATGTTTATGTTTAAAGTAAACAAGACTTTGTTTATTTTGGTATCAATGTGCTATTGTTTGTTTGCTTATGCATGTTTTTAGGTTGTCATGTTAAGCTCGTACTTTTGAGTAGAAGTTAATTCTTGTTTGTGTGTGTGTGTGTGTTTAAAAAGAAATGAATATGGTTGGCGAAGGGTATTTACTATATGTTGCCTTTGTCAACAATTGGTGTAGGCATAGGTAAAACTGTCAAAGAAAAGGTATGTGTGCATACAAGCCGTGACATTCGCGCCATTGCGAGTCAGTTGGTTAGCATTTGGCTTGAAGTTTTCCGTAAAGAAAAAGCTGCTCATGGGGGGTTAAAACTCTCAAAGTCGGTTTCTACTGTAGAATCATTGAAGAGGAAATCCAATAAAGATTCTTCTGGGAGACCTCCTCTGCATGCAAACAACAGCACACTGGATAGTAGAGGCAATTTGCAGACTTCTACAATTCACTTGCCTTCTGATGTCAATACGAAAAATGATAATAGCAAACAATTGAAATTAGAAATGGAAAATTCATCAAAATCAGATATCAGTTCATCAAGGTCAAGGGGTTCATTAGGAAAGCAGGATGCAGAAATGGAAGACAACAACATTGCTATGACAGAAGAAGAGGAGGCTGCCTTTGCTGCTGCTGAGGCAGCACGTGCAGCAGCACTTGCAGCTGCGAAGGTTATCTTTTAATCTTCTTTTTATTGAATGTTTTAGTCACTGTGTTTGTAACGTGTTTTCCTTGGTATGTCCTTGCAATAACAGTTAGTCCTCATGGGCTACGTCACTTCAGCTCCTAATAATATTAATGGGAAGTATCATCATGGATCCTTGCCACGTTATATAGTTTTCACTTCAGTGAAATATTTTAATTCGCTGATGTGAATATGGATTAAATGAAGTAGCACTAAGTCATTTTACGTACACCTTATGCAAATTGACATGGCCTTGATGCTATATAGCTTGTTAAATAAAATCTTACTTCGAACATAGGTTTCTGTTTCACTAGTGACAGGAATCTTGTGCTAGTTTCGAGGAGTTATGTGACTTTTATACCTTATCTATGGAGGGATGCTGCAGAGTTTCTGTAATCTCATTAAGATAACTTTTTAAGTGATCACAAAAATTGGCAAGCTAATGTTATATAGGATCTTGAAACTGTATTCAGATAGTCTATTTGTATCACTGATTTCAATCTTACTGGAATTCAAATTTGTTAACCTGGTTTATAGGAGATTTGTGAATGTCATTCCTGGTTGCATGTTATGACTGCTTTAGACTGACTTGGTGATTTTCACACCGCAGGCGTACGCATCTTCTGAAGCTAAGTGTGCATTGCAGCTCCCTAAAATCCCTTCCTTTCACAAATTTGCTCGAAAGGAGCATTGCGCACAAATGGATGAGTGCGAGTCTAAAAGGAAATTGTCTGGCAGTGTGCTAGGAAGACAGGATTGTATATCAGAAATAGATTCAAGGAATTGCAGGGTCAGGAACTGGTCTGTGGAATTTTCTGCTGCTTGTGTTAATCTCGAAAGTTCACGAATGTCTGCAGATAACCTTTCGCAAAGGAGCCATTCAAATGAGATTGTTAGCCAATTAAACTTCAGGGAGCACTCCGGTGAAAGTGCCCCTGTGGATAGCAGTATATACACGAAAGCATGGGTTGATACAGCTGGCAGTGTTGGAATGAAAGATTATCATGCAATTGAGAGATGGCGATCTCAAGCAGCTGCAGCTCATGTAAACGATGAGGAGGATTCAAACACTGCTGGGAATAAACCCACTTGGAATAGCGATCAATTAGCGAATGAAAGCTCGATATCACAAGTGACGATCAACAAGGAGCCTTTACGAAACCATCATCGTGGGGCTGACAGAATTAAGCAGGCCGTAGTTGATTATGTTGCATCACTCTTGATGCCCCTTTACAAAGCAAGGAAAATTGACAAGGATGGATACAAGACAATTATGAAGAAAAGTGCAACCAAGGTTAGTAATTTCCATATTCCCTAGTACATTCTTCCACCGAAACAACCGGGACGTGTGTGTTTTGTTCCTTTTTTTTGGGGGGGGGGAGGGGAGGAATAAAATGGACTATATGTTTAACCAGTTTCGACCAAAATCAGGTCATGGAACAGGCTACTGATGCAGAGAAAGGCATGACTGTTTCTGAGTTTCTTGATTTCAAACGTAGGAACAAGGTTTGCTTCCATCTATAGCTTCTTTTATAAGTTACAGTATATAGCTTACTGAATGCACTTTGTTGTTACATTTTGGTCTTTCCACTGCTCTGTTCCTTATCTGTCGACTTGGCTTTTCTTGGATTATGCACTTGCAGATTCGTGCCTTTGTTGATAAATTAATAGAGAGGCATATGGCTACGAAGCCAGTAGTGGACTCATGACAGTCCCGAGGATTTGTCGTTATTTTCTTGGTCAATAACGAAGGCATGATAGTCCCAACGATCAACTGGCTTTCTTGGACAAGCTTCTCAAGAGGATACGCTTACGAGTTATTCATTTTATTCTGGGAAGACTCCAAGGTATATTTTGGCATGAAAGCTTCTCATAACTTGACGCCTGATTTACATTTCCAGCGCGCCTTAATTTCTGAAGCTGCAATTGAGAAGTATGACATTTCTGCTTGTGTAATCATGATGTGGAGTTTCCATGATCTACCAAGATTTTGATTGTGCGATCGAATATGATTATAACTTGCACGTGGGGTTTAAATGCGATTATGATTGGCATCGAACAACAGCCCGATTCTGCATAATTCTTTTAGTATGGCTTAATTTTATGTCGTTCATTGGGCCCACTCCAGGTGTTTTTTTTCTTGCTCATTTCGGTTATAGAGCGCCTGTTGAAGAAAACATCACATTGTATTATAAAGGTGCAAGATCAAGCCCTTCAGTTTTTAGCGATGGACCTTAGGTTATGCTTCATTTTCTTTTCTTCCATTCCCCTCTCCACATGTACAGCTTAGAATTATTTCATTGACAACAATCACAGTAATTTTCATTTATTCACCAAAATTTCGCTCGATCTTTTGAGATTGAATATTGTAATTTACCTGTCGTTTTTTTTTTCCATAGATTAACTAAAGAAGCCTTCGTGGCCATTTTTCGTTTCTAATCGTGACTCTTTCTGATATCAAAGTCCTCATTTAGTATAAGGGCTATTGTTATAGTTGAGATATCAAACTGTAGCTGCATTGTCAGTGCTTCTGTTGTTCCTGATGTATAGCCGGATGAGATCTATCTGCTTATGCGACTTGGAAGAAAAAACAAATGCAATGTTCGGACCGAAACGACTGTAAGTAGTGAATATTTCCTTCCCCTTTCTTTAGCTTGCAATTTTATTGTCAGCTCACTTTACAGTTTACAATTTTTTTGTGTCGCTATGTTTGCAGATTATAGGTTGCTTCTCTCATACCCATAAATAGGTATCTTTCTTTTAGCCTAATGATAGATCCTCAACTTATTTAGCTGTTGCATATTTGTATATGATTTTGTAATGTCATGGATAGAAGTATGATCTAAAGTAAGCATGTGACCTCGGTACGTGATTCGTGATTCGTGATCGAGGCCAATATCCATTATGAAATCATGCATTTAGGATCGTGGGCATGTTCCAATCGTGTTATTCCAATAAATTGAAGGTTTGAAGTCCCGTCCTAGTCTTTATAATAACGTGTCAACTCGAAAGAAGAAAACGACAAGAAAGAAATGCGTGCTTTTATATTTCTTACTCTTCTTCAGATTCAGTGTTTATGCAACTGATCCATCAATTTGCAGTTCTTTAGTTCTTATTCTCAGTGCAACAATCCTTCTGGTGTTTGGTGAGTAGCAGGAAAGTTGTTTTCCAGAAGGTGAAAAAGTAGCCCTCATTGAATTTAATACCCATCTGATGGTCTGTTTTTATGATGCTTCATTCTTTGTGTATCTTTTGTTAGCAGCAGAACATAACTTTGATCTCGTCCCTTATGGTAGCCCGATGCGATCGAATTGACCGACTCGGTGACTGGTTCTTCCTAGTTTTTGCTTCACTTTATTGCCTGTCGTGCTAGTTCCTTTTAAAAATAATATGCGGTCTTTACCGGTATTCAATTATTTATAAAGGCTAAATTATTAGGAACTAAGGGAATGGTGCTTGGATGCTCAAATAGTACTAGAAATTCTCCGTAGCTCGAAACTTAATTGATCAGATAGTACTAGGAACTCTCCGTAGCTCGTAACTTAATTGTTCAGATAGTATTAGAAATTCCTCGTAGCTCAAAACTTAATCTAAGGTCGGGACGTTTAAAGGAATCCCATGGTTGTATAAAGTTTAATAGCTTCTATTATTTGTAACTTTTTGAAAACATTTGAACATATTGTAAAAGTTCTGTTTATAAGGTTTGAATGATTATTTTGAAAAATAATATTAAATGACGATATGATTAAGTTGCAGTAGGCACGCTGGCAAGATTGGGCCTATTATTGGCCCATTATTTACATTTTGTTCTGCTCGCGGCCCAATTATGTCCCTCGATTGGGCCTTCATATGGCCCAGTGGTAAGCCCAGCTGTAGGACCCGATTGTATTATTCCTAAATATATAATAATAGTAATAATAATAATAATGTAAATTCGTGATAGCGTGAGTATTTCAGAGGGCTGGGGAGAGAGAGAGAGATCTGATCCAATCGGAGACCTTCTTCATCTTCACCGTCGAACACAGAAAAGATGTCGTCAGCCTTCAGCGGCGATGAAACGGCGCCCTTCTTCGGCTTCCTCGGCGCTGCTGCGGCCCTCGTCTTCTCCTGTGAGTTATTGTTTGACCAATGCGTTTAATTTGAGTTTTCTGGGTGTGGATCTTTGATTTGTATGGCGATGGTGTTTCTTATTGTTTTTGACTCGATTAGGTATGGGAGCTGCTTATGGAACGGCGAAGAGTGGGGTGGGAGTTGCGTCGATGGGAGTAATGAGGCCTGAGTTGGTTATGAAGTCGATTGTGCCGGTGGTTATGGCTGGAGTTTTGGGTATTTATGGGCTTATTATTGCTGTGATTATCAGCACGGGGATTAACCCGAAGGCCAAATCTTATTACCTCTTCGATGGCTACGCGCATCTTTCCTCTGGGCTTGCTTGTGGCCTTGCTGGTCTATCCGCTGGCATGGCTATTGGGATCGTCGGCGATGCTGGTGTTAGGTACTATTTGTTAACGTTTTGGGATGTTTTATTGTCGTTGTGCATCCATTTTTCCTGTCTGATCACTGTTTTTCACTGATTATCGCTTGATTCGTACATTTAGTTCCCGTTTATGCTACCAATCTCTTTCTGCTTTTTTTCTTAGATTCCCTCCTCAGAATCTTCGTATTGAAGATTTTTAGTCTTACTGTTATTACATTATGTTCTGGTGGATAATGGTCTGTATGTTTGGTACGATTAGGTAGTTGTAATTTGCGCAAGCTCTGCCAATCAAATAAATTGTTTCTGGTTGTAGTGCGATAATCTTCGGATGGTTGAGTCTGTTTGTTAATTGCCCATTTATCGAGTTCCTGCGTTTTTTTCTGGGTTTCTAAGAGCTGTGCACGGATTTTTTTTCTCTAGTTTAAGTGCTATCTTAGTCCTGATATTACATGTCTTTTTTACTTTCAGATATTCTATTCTGGTATTGTCATTTGGTGATTAGCATAAGAACTCGTTTTGGTCTATGAAGTTAATTTTTGTTATGGATTTGGCCGAAGTCTAAAGTCTAAGTGGCATCTACTTAGACTTGTATTTTGAAACTTATGCTTAAGCTTTTATATTGGGTGTGGAAATGTGTTGCTGAAGACTTATGTTCAAACGTATTGCACAAATGAATTTGTATGAGACTCAGAATCAGAACCCTTTTGTATTATGAGTAGTTGCAAACTATTATGTTCAAGTAGCTTGCCGGTATTTATCTGTATTTTTTTTTCTCGAATCCTTTTGATGTAAAATGTACTTATCACTTATACTTGTCTTCTACAGAGCCAATGCACAGCAGCCTAAGCTTTTCGTTGGGATGATTCTTATTCTAATTTTCGCCGAAGCACTGGCTCTCTATGGACTTATTGTTGGCATTATTCTCTCTTCCCGAGCTGGTCAGTCGAGAGCTGATTAATTGGATTCTTCATGCGTGGACTGGATTTTGTGTAGTATGTCTCGTCTTTTTGTCAAGAATTGGTTTTGTACTCTCGAGTAAATGGGTTACTATCATTAAGCTTGCTTACTCTCTTAATTGTTTTTGTGAGGTGTGATTACTGTACCACACGGATCTTGTAGTAGCTATGTGGATTGGGAATTAATTATTCTTCTCAATAAAGATTAAACTTTATTACCTTAACATTGCTCTTCTTTTGCTGAAGCTTCCCTCTTAATTGTGTAGACTCCTTTTTGTTCCTAGGATTGTGTTTGATAAAAATATCTTATTGAGGTAGTTACCTGTCAATGGCTAGATATCTTTAGCGATTGAATGATTAGAGTTTGTGTGAGATCCCACGTCGGTTGGAGAGAGAAATGAAACGTTATTTATAAGTGTGTGGAAATCTCTCTAGCAGATTCGTCTTAAAATCTTTAAGGGAAGCCCAAAAAGGAAAGCTTTAAGAGAGCTATATCTGCTAGCGGTGAACTTGTGCTGTTAGAATTTGCAAATAGTTCTAACTCTTATACAAATACATGGTTGTACAACCTCTAAGAAGAGACCTTGTTCAAGTTAGGGTATCGGATAGTTTTTAATTCTCTATTCTTATTTTGCTCGGGATCGATATGTAAGAGTAGGTTTCAGCAGATCATCTCGAAAATCGAGCAAGCAATCCTATGATGAGATTACATTAGGGAGGCATAAGCTTAGCACAGTCTATTTCCATCATTAGTTTTGGTTCTTAGTTGCTATTAGTCATAACCTGGGGGCATCCATGGAGAGGGACAGATGGGATGAGAAAAGGTACCAACAATGGAAAAGCTGTTTGGTATTTATTATCCTTCCTTTACTGTAAAGGGAAATGGATGAATATTCTGTAGGGTGTCCTTAGGTAAGTTATATGCTGCTGTGGCTAATAGAGAGCCGACTTCTCTTTTGTGCTTGCACCTCACGCATCTCTTTATCTTTTTAGCATCTCTGATGTGTTCTTTAGTTTCTTTCATTTTCAGAATGTCTTCGTTTTTCATTGTTTTTCAGTTCAGCCTTTTGGCCTGGATGGACTCTTTTCTCTTGTTTATTTCTTGTTAGTTTCACTTCATGCTATCTTCTTCTTCTTCTTGGACATGTTCTTCCGTGCGATGTCTCGCAGTCGAGATAGCCCTCTCGAGAGCTTGATAATGAGCACAAAATCATTTGTGCAATGATGTCGAGATAAAATACAAACAATAAAACTATCCCTCACATAAAAACGTTCACTGGAATATTAGATGAATGTTTGTTTAATCAAGTATAAAAAAATGATACTATAAAACACATTGGCATATCGTATAACATTTTAGTACTTTTTTCTATTTTACTCGTAGTTTTGAAAAAAGATCGAGAATAATATTATAACTTTGAAGAAAAAATAATATTTTAAACTTTTAAATTTTTTTTTAAAAATTTAAAAAATATTCTTAGGTTAGAACTACATTTAAAAAAAAATACTCATGTTTGGAGATATTTTATGATACGTCACTAGAATATTTTTATCCATATATTGATGATAATAATTTTAAAATTTTTTTATTAACTCTTTTAAAGATGTATGTATATATTTTTTTTTTTTTTGAAAAGATGCAAAGGTATTAATTGAAACTTTTAAAAAAAATTATAAGTAGTTTTGGTATTATTGAAATAAAATTTAAATGTATTATTAATCTTAAAAAAAAATTAAAAAAGGGATATTTTGAGATAAATACAAAATTGATGGACATTTTTATTAATTTATCTATATTGGTTTGGGTTTTGGTTTTCCTAATCGATTATTCCAGATAACGTGGAGAGGGATTTAATAGAATCGAGAAGAAAGGTTGGTATCTGAAGAGAGCTAAATCACAGTGAGAAGAAGAAGAAAAGATAAAAGAATCTTCAGATCTGATCGAATCGGAGATCCTCCTCATTGTTTCAATCGGAAAAAATGTCAACCTTCAGCGGCGATGAAACGGCGCCCTTCTTTGGCTTTCTAGGCGCCGCTGCGGCCCTCGTCTTCTCCTGTAAGAAAATCATCTTTCAATGCGATTGATTACATGTCTCTTGTAACGGATCTTGATTGGCTTTTGTTCTTGTGAATCAGGTATGGGAGCCGCTTATGGGACGGCAAAGAGCGGTGTTGGAGTTGCGTCGATGGGAGTGATGAGACCGGAATTGGTGATGAAGTCGATTGTTCCGGTGGTTATGGCGGGAGTTTTGGGTATTTATGGTTTGATTATTGCTGTGATTATTAGTACTGGGATTAACCCGAAGGCTAAATCTTATTACCTCTTCGATGGCTACGCGCATTTGTCCTCTGGTTTGGCTTGTGGTCTCGCCGGTCTCTCTGCTGGCATGGCTATCGGGATCGTCGGCGATGCCGGCGTTAGGTACTTTTCTTTAATCCGTTACTCTGAAGTGTAGATTTAGATGTACTTTGGATGCTTCAATCTGGCTTGATCTCGTTTTTTGTGGTTTATTAATTTATCTTTTCAATTTGCTTCTGCTAATTTTCAACTTCGGCGAAAGTACTTTGATTGAAGATTTTGTTATCAGAATCTCCCCACCATGATCAAATAATGGAATAAGATTGTTCGTGGGAAGGATTGCCCTTGTTGAGAATGAATTTAACAATTAAGTTTAATCTGATCTCAATTTAGGTATAAGCTCAAAGCTCTGGATTCTTGCCTTTTGTGTTAAATTCGTTCTAGACTATTTCCTGCCTTAGTACACTATTAATAGTCTAATGCTTCAAACCCTGAAAAGATTGATGGAATCACTATTGTTCTTGATCCCTTGATGTTGCACATACCCTTTGCAAATCGAGCAATGTTTTTGTGACAATCCAAACCCACCGCTGACATATATTATCCACTTTGGCCTGTTACGATCGTTGTTAACCTCATGATTTTAAAACACCTCTGTTGGATAGAGATTTTCACACCCTTATAAAGAATGCTTCGTTCTCCTCTTCTACCGATGTAAGATCTCACAGAAACATTCTTTATAATGGTATGGAAACCTCTCCCTAGCAGACGCGTTTTAAAAACCTTGAGGGGAAGCTTGAAAAGGAAAGCCCAAAGAGGATAATATCTGGCAGCGGTGGACTTGGGCTATTACAATAACTTTTGATCTAGAGCTGTAGAATGGAAGCATCTAATTGCATGTCTTCTGCAGGGCCAATGCACAACAGCCTAAGCTTTTTGTTGGGATGATTCTCATTCTAATTTTTGCCGAAGCGCTTGCCCTTTATGGACTTATCGTCGGTATTATTCTCTCCTCCCGAGCTGGTCAGTCGAGAGCTGATTAATTGAACATTTTGCGCTTTGAAAATGTGTATTATGTCTCTTTTTTCATTCAAGATTTGTTTTTGTAGTTCTCTGATTAGAAATGGTCATAACTCAGTTTACTTTCTCAAATATTCTTATGTTGTTGTGTGGTTTTCTACCACACGGATGCTGTACTCATAAGGATTTGGAATTTATTATTCTTCTCAATAAACATAAAACCTTGTTTCCTTGGCTGCTTATTGTGCTCAGTGTTGCTCTTCAATTTGTGCCTGTAGACTTCTAATTTGTTCTTCTGAAATTTCTGATGGGTAATGCAGTGTAGTTCATGGCTTGATACCTTTGATATTTGACCACAATATCTTCGATGGAAACTGTGTTTCAATTTAGTTAAAAGATTCACAGAAGTTTCATTCACATTTCTGGATTTAATACATTTCTGGATTTAATGGGTGAGATCCCATGTCGGTTGAAGAGGAAAATGAAGAATTCCTTTTAAGGGTTTCGAAACCTCTTACTAGTAGACATGTTTTAAAACCTTGAGGGAAGTCTTTGAAGGGATAAGTCAAAGAGGACAATTTCCGCTAGTGGTGGGCTTGGCTGTTACAAATGGTATCAAAGCCAGTCACCGGGCGGTGTGCCAACGAGGAATCTGGGTCCCCAAGGGAGGGGGGAGGGGGTGGATTGTGAGTTCCCACATCGGTTGGAGAGAGGAACGAAATATTCTTGAGTTCCCAAGGGGGTGAATTATGAGATCTCACATCAATTGGAGAGAAGAACGAAGTATTCTTGGGTCCCTAAGGGGGTGAATTGTGAGATCCCACATCGGTTGGAGAGAGGAACAAAGTATTCTTTATACAGGCGTGAAAACCTATTCCTAGCAAACATGTTTTAAAACTTTGTGGGAAGTCTTTGAAGGAAAAGTCGTAAAGGGACAATATCTACTAGCAATGGACTTGAATTGTTACATGAACTATGCCTATCTCTTGTCTCTATTATCCAAGTTGATAAGTGGTTTGAAACATTCTTAGATTAGAAACATTCTTAGATTAGATAACTAGGTAAAGTTGTTTGAAATTAGAGTTCAAGAAGAATGGAGAATGTCAGAATGTCATGCCAACGAGCTTAAATACAAACTTCTAAGTTTTATACATGATCGGTAATGTTTGTGTTTATTTAATCTCTAAATTTTTAAAGTTAAGTATGAATTTTTCCGAATACAACTAGGTGGAAAATTTTAATTTATATCTTATAATTTATTAAATTTTATTTTTTAAAAAATTTAAAAATTTTTATTTTTAATTTGTCATGATATATTTAGCTAATAGATTAATATCTGAACTTTATTGAACTAAAAAAGAAGTATATTTTATATAATATATTTTGGAAAAAAATTAATAACAATCCTACAAAACTCTTTTGAAATTATAGTCAAATATTAAAAATTTATAAATATATATTTCTAGCCAAAAGTAGCATAAAATATTTTCGAGGAGTTACTTACCAAAAAAAATAAAGCATATTTGTTTTTTCTTTAAAAAAATATTTTAATTTATTTATTTATGAAGCTAAGAAAATTATTTTTCTAAAAACATGAGCATGGTGAATTTTAATAAAGTAATATTTCACTGCGAATGTAAGCGTCTCAAGGGATCTAGAAGCCCCCAAGGAGCGGATGTAACAAAAAAATCCCAATTTTGTATTCTTCCACGCCTCTTCAGCCAATAATCACCGCCGTGGGAGTGGAAATAACAAATAATTTTGTTAAAAGAAAAAAAAAAACACAAAAATTGTTTATTTTTATTTTCAATTTTATTTTTAAAAAATTAATTTGCTTCCTCACCAAGTCGGCGGAGTCTATTGGCGGGCTCTGGTGGGCGAGGACCGTGCAGTATTTTATAGGACGGAAGTTGAATCGCAGAAGAATGGTTGAATTTTCATTCGTTCATGACCGTAAATCGATTGCGGATTTCGAGCTAAATTGCTAAAATGGCGGAAGAAATCAGTAAGGCCGACCTCGGAACTTCCACTTCTATCGCAGATAGCACGAAATCGAGATCTTTTTGGCCCTCTAGTCTCCGTTGGATTCCCACTTCTACCGATCATATCATCGCCGCCGAGAAGCGGCTTCTCTCTCTTGTCAAGTAATGCTGTTTTCTCTCTCTCTCTCTTTTCTTCTCCGAAACCCTAGTTAATTCTTAATTTGGTGTTTGGAATTGTGGCTGGGACCAGATTCTTAAGATGTGATTGAATTTTAGTTGCCTTGCACTTGTTAGAATTTTGGATATTTGTGGTGTAATTTGTTGTGATTTTTTAAAAACTTATGGAGTGAATCGCAAATTCCGAGTTTCCGAAGACGACATTTCTCAGCTCTTTGAATTTGAAGTTCATCTCTTACATTTGATGCACTTTGGAAATTTGGATCAAATACTGATTAGTTATCATTTAATAGCTTCACTTGGAATGGAAATAAATATGATTTGCAGTCCATTTCGTGACAATTTATTCTCTCTTTATTCATGATATTGGATTTTGTTCAATTTCAGAACTCCATATGTCCAAGAACGAGTTAACATTGGTTCTGGTCCACCAGGATCGAAAGTTAGATGGTTTCGTTCTGCGAGTAATGAGCCTAGATTTATCAACACCGTGACATTCGACAGCAAAGCTGATTCTCCGACACTTGTAATGATCCATGGTTATGCTGCTTCTCAAGGATTCTTCTTCCGGAATTTTGATGCTCTTGCCAGTCGCTTCCGGGTCATCGCCATCGATCAACTAGGGTGAGCTCAATCTTTTAAGATAAATCTCATAGTTAGATGGTTTAATTTGATAAGATATACCCATGTTGTATTCCTTCGCTGTATTCTGTACCCATCTTTTGTTTCATCTATGCACATTTGTTCTTCAAATGACTTCTTGAATATCAGGTTGTTGGCCGTCAATAAGGGCTGTCTATTTCATTAAATTTTTTAATGTCTGAGCAAAGCATAACTTTGTTCTGAAGTTTCTTTACTTGCGTGTTTGTAGGTGGGGAGGATCTAGCAGGCCTGATTTTACATGCAAAAGCACAGAAGGTTGAGTAATTACTTCCATTCGTATCTCCTATTGCTTGTAATTATTATTACTTGGAAGTAAAATAAGCTATAGACCTTTAATTTATAATGATTTATGTTCTACTAAGGTTCTGATTATTATATTGGTGATGCAGAAACTGAAGCATGGTTTATAGACTCTTTTGAGGAATGGCGAAAAGCAAAAAACATCAGCAGTTTTATCTTACTTGGGCACTCATTTGGTGGATACGTGGCGGCTAAATATGCTCTCAAGGTGATTGCGTTTTCTATTCAACTTTTGAAAAATGAAGTATTGATGATCGCCTTTGTGATTTCTGAGGTCTCTATCATTGTCTTTTTCAGCATCCTGAGCACATCAAACACCTGATTTTAGTAGGACCTGCGGGATTTTCTTCTGAGTCAGATGCTAAGTCTGATGAGACGATTACCCGGTTTAGAGCTACTTGGAAAGGAGCGATTTTGAGTCATTTGTGGGAGTCAAATTTTACTCCACAGAAGCTCGTGAGGTATTTTTATATTCTTATTTACTAACTACTTCGACAAAATAACACGGGTCTTTACTCTGTTGCCGTACTTTACTGTTTTCTTTAGGTCTTGGGATCATTTCTTGGTTTGTTCATACCAAACAAAATAAGAGCTCACAGTTTCTAAGGTCATCATCTGACCTTGTAAACTCAGCAGCATGTCTTTAGAGAATATTTTTCTAGACCCAAAATTCAGTAGACTTAACTGAAGTTTGTCAGTCAATCGTTTCATTTTTGGTGTAGGTGGTTGGTACATTTTGGGTGAAAAGTGTTATAAGAAAGGGGAAATTTTAGGTTCTCATTCTTAGAATCTCAAGAAAAGAAAAAAAGAAACTAGCCTTATACTATTGTTCTGTGTCATTATTTGGTATATTCATGATATTAGACAACTATTTTTAGGCCGTGCCGCCATATTACATTTTTTTAGCATATTCAAGTTACAGACTGCTAATCTCATGCACTCTAATTTTCTCAGAGGTTTGGGCCCCTGGGGTCCTAATCTTGTTCACAAATATACAAGTGCTAGATTCGGGACATACTCAATCGGGGACATATTGAATGATGAAGAATCCAGATTGTTATCAGGTAATGTATGATGAAGAGTTGAGTATTTGGCACAAACATATGATTTGTTTTGACATTTCCTTTTTTCCAATTGAAGATTATGTATACCACACGTTAGCAGCCAAGGCTAGTGGAGAATTGTGCTTGAAATACATATTTGCTTTTGGTGCATTTGCTCGGATGCCTCTTTTACAAAGGTTTGATAATTTTACTTCATTTCTTTAATTTAAAATTATTTTATACCCTTTTGGTTGAAATTGTGTGTTGAGTAATTTTTCTTTCTGTTCCAATTCTTTACAAAATAAAAAGTGTGATTATTTCGAGCCAGAGAGGTTACAATAGGCCCTGTAGCTCATCAAAGGTTAATTAAACTATAACTAGAAAAAGAGGAGGAGAACAATGTGAGATCCCACGTCGGTTGAGGAGGAGAATGAAACATTCTTTACAAGGGTGTGGGTGTGGAAACCTCTCCCTAAAAAGACGCGTTTTAAAAACCTTGAGGGGAAGCCCAAAATGGAAAGCACTTACAGATTGGGAACTCTAAACCTCGATTTTTGGATTTGAATTGTGTTGGATTGTCCGGTTGTTCAGTTTTTTAATTATACTACAATACATATTTTTTTTAATAACTAAAATCTCATCAAACTCAAATATCAAATATAATTTCTTTTTGTAGTGCATCGGAATGGAAAGTTCCTACAACATTTATATACGGTTCTGAAGATTGGATGAAATATCAAGGTGCTCAAGAAGCTCGCAAGAGTATGAAGACACCGTGCGAAATATTACGGGTCCCTCAGGTTTTCCCATCCTTCTTGCTCTCTCTACACATATGAATGTTGTTTGTATTTTAGGCTCCATCTTAAGGGACTATTCTGTTGTGGTTATGAGTGCAGGCTGGGCACTTTGTGTTCATAGACAACCCTACCAGTTTTCACTCGACAGTGTTCTACGCATGCCGGAGATTCCTCTCCCCCGACCCTGATAAAGACTCCTTGCCTGAAGGTATAATATCTGCTGCCTGAACTCTTCACCATACATTTTGCACACAAAATTCAGTTTTGCATGTATTATTTGTAGTTGTCTATGGTCATTTACGTAATGGGTATAAATGAAATGTAATATTTTCTGTTCACATCTTTATGTATACCAAGAATATTTAATGTTTGGTTTGTTGAAATTTTGTCTATTAAATTGTTCTCGGTCTTCTTTGTCTTCTTTTTATCCTGCCGAGCTAATCTCGAAAGTGCATGGTGATCTGATTGTCTTAGACAACACAACCGCTATGTTCGGTGTTTCTCGGTTGTTGTTTTAATATCAAATCATAAATCTTTCACCCTATTATGTTTCTTTTAGTAGGATCAAATATCTCTACATGTATTTTATGTATGTCATACACAATTATTTATTTATTCATATATATATATATATATATATATATATAGAAGTTTACAAAGTGAGTTGTCGATGTATAACACAAAGATAACTTTACCAAGTTTACACTAATGCTAATGTTGCCGTTATTGTCACACAATGAAATGGGACCAAGCTTAATTCGTATGTACACCCTCATATACATATATATATATATATATATATATATATATATATATATATATATATATATATATATATATATATATATATCATTATATTTTCACGATCTATGAAAATGGTCTTCGTCGATATTGTCTCTTTTGTCCACACAAGAAGAAAGGAGTGAGTTTTGTAGCCCATTGTAAGTTGACTTAATTAGTTCATGGACAATGTATTTATACGTTTCGGGATCATGAGTTTCTAGATTGGCTCTTACCTTTAAATTCTTATAGCGTAAAACATACCATTGCTAAGGATAGAGTTTGTTGCCAGATGAATTATTTAAAAAATAATAATAAATAAGACCATAATATTTAAAACACGGAAAGGACATGCTGCTGTATTAAAATGACGTTAATCAATATAATATAGTATATATCGGTATAATGCCAAACGAAACACGTACAAAGTCGAAGTTAAACAACAAAAATTAATAAACTAATTTTCGTGTTAATATTAATATTGATATCAATGATATGACAAAATAGTTTTAAAAATATACTATTAGGAATAAAAAATACTAAGAGAGCTTAATCCGTTTGGGAGAAAAATTATTTTTTACAAAAATTAAAAAAACATTCTGTTTCCGGGATCGAACTCGGGTCTTCCGAGTGAGAGCCGAGCATTTAATTTAATATTATATTCAATTTTACCGAGTACTCGCCGCTAAGAACCAACCAATTGAACTGAGCCATTTGCAGAGGCAGAGACTCTAAATTATTCACCGGCGCTCACTGACGGACAAGAGGAGGCCTTAAGTTTGCTCCGCCATAAAATACTCTCTCCGACGGAAACAATGTTGAGCCAATCCACCACCGGTCTCCATAGCCGCTCACTCTTCACATTTCCACGACGGGTCAATCACTCCGGCATCGGTAGAGCCTCCGTGACGTGCGCCGCTAGCAAATGGGCCGAGCGACTACTCGGGGACTTTCAATTCCTCTCCGATTCCTCCTCCTCCGACCATTCCCATTCTCTCTCCTCTTCCACTGTCACTCTCTCTCCTTCTTTCCCTCCCCCAATTGCCTCCCCCGAGCGCCAAGTTACCATCCCCATCGATTTCTATCGGGTTCTTGGAGCCGAGACGCATTTTCTTGGGGATGGGATTAGGAGAGCGTATGAAGCTAGAGTTTCGAAGCCGCCGCAGTACGGGTTTAGCCAGGAGACTCTGATAAATCGCCGGCAGATTCTTCAGGCGGCGTGCGAAACTTTGGCGGACCATACATCGCGAAGAGAGTACAATCAAGGTCTTTCGGAAGATGAAGATGCTACCATTCTCACGCAAGTCCCTTTCGATAAGGTAACATTTAGTTTTGGTTTTTGCTATGTTATAATCAATTTAAAACTCGATAATGGTTGGTTTGTGTTGAATTGACCTCTTAATGTGACGAATCTGAATTGGAAATGTTTGATATGTGAGCAGATTTTTTGAGATTGGAATTGTTAATTTGTAGGTTCCTGGAGCTTTGTGCGTGTTGCAAGAAGCTGGAGAGACATCCCTGGTTCTTGAAATTGGAGAAAGGTTGCTCAGAGAAAGGTTGCCAAAGTCATTCAAGCAAGATATTGTCCTGGCCGTGGCTCTTGCTTATGTTGACATATCAAGGGATGCTATGGCATTAACTCCACCTGATTTTATTCAGGGTTGCGAAGTGCTCGAGAGGGCCTTGAAATTGTTGCAGGTAAATGTTTGATTGCAACTCTTCAATCTCCCCATTGAAAATTTTCAGATGCCCTTCTAATTGCTTGCACAGATTAGCAATCAATAGTTTTGGATGATGTTCACATCTGGAGTATAAATTAAATTATGAAATGGTAAACGTAAATAAAGATGATGATTGATCTCCAATGTATTGTACTGAGTTGTGAAATGAGGAGAAAAAGGCATAAAATCATGCACGGAATATAGTTTATGTTATGCTGATTGATGAATACCTTCTGAAATGTAGGAGGAGGGTGCCAGTAGCCTTGCACCAGATTTGCTTGCACAAATTGATGAGACATTGGAAGAGATCACACCTCGATGTGTTCTCGAACTCTTGACTTTACCTCTTGGTGACGAGTGGCGAACGAGAAGGGAAGAGGGTCTTCATGGAGTGCGGAATATTCTGTGGGCTGTTGGAGGAGGAGGAGCAACAGCTATTGCTGGTGGATTCACCCGTGAAGATTTTATGAACGAGGCATTTGAACGAATGACAGCATCTGAGCAGGTTTTTGCAGAGTTGAAATGTTCCTAAATTGTAATCCTTGCCTTTTTCTTGTTACATTAAGCGTATCATCTCTTTTTCTTGTTGAAAGGTTGATCTCTTTGTAGCTACACCAACAAATATTCCAGCAGAAAGTTTTGAAGTCTATGGAGTCGCACTCGCACTCGTGGCACAAGCCTTTGTTGGTAAAAAACCGCACCTTATCCAAGATGCTGACAACCTCTTCCAACAGCTTCAGCAAACGAAAGAAGCTGTTGTTGGGACTGCTGGGACAGCATATGCACCATGCGAGGTTGATTTTGCTCTTGAGAGGGGGCTATGTTCCCTACTTAGTGGCGACCTCGATGGGTGTCGATCATGGCTGGGCTTAACCAGTGAAAATTCACCTTACAGAAATCCAGCTATTGTAGATTTTATCCTTGAGAATTCAAAGGGTGATTATGAAAATGATCTTCCAGGGCTATGTAAACTGTTGGAGACATGGTTGGCAGAAGTGGTGTTCTCCAGATTTAGAGACACACATAATATTTATTTTACTCTTGGAGATTACTATGATGATCCTACTGTTCTGAAGCACTTAGAGAAACTGGAAGGAGTTAATGGCTCACCCCTAGCTGCTGCAGCAGCTATAGTGAAGATTGGTGCTGAGGCTACTGCAGTTCTAGACCATGTGAAGTCCAGTGCAATTCAAGCACTGCGGAAGGTGTTTCCACTCAGTCAGAACAGTTCTAGGCGTGAGGCCGATGCAGAAATGGAATATCCTTTTCCTGCTGTAAGTAGTCAGGTGCCTTTAGTGAGCTTTGATGAGAATGAACGTACTAACTTACCTGAGGTTTCTGAGAGTGCTAAAGCTGGTGAAAAACCTATTGCTGATGAAATTAAAGATGCAAGTGTGAAGATCATGTGTGCTGGTGTGGCAGTTGGGTTGCTGACTTTGGCTTGTTTGAAATTTTTACCTGCTAGAAATAGCACAACTGCTGTACTTAATGAAGCTGGGGCATCCACTACCAGTATGGGTATGATCTAAATACTCAAATATAACAAATAAAAAAGACTAGTTTCAGTTTCCTTCGTTTAGAGTTTCTAGATACTAATCTTATATTATAAGGTATTTTCACTTAATGTTAATGTGAGATCCTACATCTAGTTGGGAGGAGAACGAAACATTCTTTATAAGAGTGGAAACTCTCCTTAACAGACGCGTTTTAGAAACTTTAAGGGGAAGCCCAAAAGAGAAAGACCAAAGAGGACAATATCTGTTGGCGATGGGCTTGGGCCGTTACAAATGGTATCAGAGCCAGACACCGGGCGATGTGCCAATGAGGAGACTGAAACCCGAAGGGGGTGGATTGTGAGATCCCATATCCGGTTGGGGAGGAAAACGAAACATTTTTTATAAGGGGGTGGAAACCTCTCCCTAGCATACGTGTTTTTAAAACCTTGAGGGGAAGCCTGAAAGGGAAAGCCTGAAGGGAAAAGTCCAAAGAAGACAATATCTACTAGCAATGGGTTTGTTAAGTTAAAATCTAAAATCATTAGTTGCAAATGGTTTTATGCTTTGGAGAATTCTTGGAGGATTGTAGTTGGGCACAATCATCCTTGTTTGGATCCATGGTTTGTATCATCTTCTTCCAATGGGCATTATCTCGATTTGACCAAGTCACAAGCACAAAGCACTTCATACTTCTATTTTATGAAATCATGTTGGATTTAGGGCTTGTTCTGGTTGAAAGTGGTTTATCTTAAACATTTTTAGCTGTTGGGTTAAATTTTTAGGATCACTTTAGATTGATGGCGTACTTGATGTCTTTAAAATTCCAGTTTTAATTTAAATTTACAATTTTACTTGGATATCTATATCCTAGATGAGGTCTTATAAATTTTCCTCGTTAAGTGAGGTTTATATTGTTTTTTTTAGATGCTGTTCTGTATAAGTTTGTATAAGGTCTAGCTGTTTAAGTGGATTCTTATGGTGTTTTTGTGGATTCTATAACTTATTTTCTGTCGTTTTGCTGTTCTTCACTATAACTAGTGATACTCAATCTGATTTCAGATATCAATAGCTAACTTGTTCCAATAATATACGAACTGCCCTCCGGTGTTACTTTCATGGGAGGAAACCTGCTCTTTGAGTTTCATAACCTGATTTATAATTGTGCAGCATCTGAAGTTGAGTCAAGCGCGGAACCATCTAGAATGGATGCACGGATTGCAGAAGCTCTAGTTCGCAAATGGCAGAGCATCAAGTCTTTGGCTTTTGGACCTGATCATTGCCTAGCGAAACTATCAGAGGTAAGAATGTTCCATTTGTACATATAAGATTATCCATTTTTTGTTGTTTCATTACTAGTTGAGAAATGTGAGATCCCACGTCGGTTGAAGAGGGGAACAAAGCATTCCTTATGAAGGTGTGGAAACGTTTTAAAACTGGGAGGCTAACGATAATACGTAATGGACCAAAGTTGACAATATCTGCTAGCAGTGGGCTTAGGCTGTTACAAATGGTATCAAAGCTAGACACGGAGCGGTGTGCCAACGAAGATGTTGGGTCCCAAAAGGGGTGGATTGTGAGATTCCACATCGGTTGGAGAGGGGAATGAAACATTTCTTATAAGGATGTGGAAACCTGTCCCTAGCAGACATGTTTTACAATTGTGAGGTTGACGGCGATACATAATGGGTCAACATGGACAATATCTGCTAGCGGTGGGCTTGGGCTTGGGGTCTACCCCTCCCTTTCCACGTAAAACAAAAACAAAATAGAATAAAAACCCTTTTAGTTTGGTCATAAATGTACAAGATTGACTTAGCATAGTTGATTATAAATCTTATTTCTTTTGCTAGACTGTTTTATCTTTCCAAATGGGGTTCCCACGGTTAGGAAGCACGAACCTCATATTATCTACTTTGAGCATAAGCTCTCGTAGCTTTGCTTTTGGTTTTCCCAAAAGACCTCGTACCATTGGAGATGTATTCCTTACTTATAAACCCATGATCATCCCCTTAATTAGCCAACGTAGGACTCTCTCCCAACAATTCTCAACTTCCACTGGCATCAATTTGTAGTTCATGATTTTTAAAAACTGAACTATTTTAAATCAGACATATATAACTTGAATGACTTTCTAAACAAAAAAAACTTATTTTCAAACCCGTAGAAGTCTTTTCCAAACAGATTCTACATTAAATGTGGGGGTAAGGAGTGCTACTTATTTATTCTTTTAGGTGGTGATTACAATGAATGTTGATTTTGTTTTTCTACAACAATAATCATTGTTCATGTTCATTTTAGGGTAAAGGTAACAAACTATAATCCTTTTCTGAATTGAGTTGATTAAATTTCTGAGTATTGTTTCTCTCACAATTATGTGTCGCCTCTTATCATCCAATGAATTCAAACTTACTCGTCTTGTTTTCGACTGAATGCATCAGCAAGTTGTTTTAGACTGAATGGATTGTTTCTCTCACGTTATGTTTCCACATGCAACAAACATGATAATCTTATATGTTTTCCAGATTTTAGATGGTGAGATGTTGAAGATTTGGACGGATCGTGCATCCGAAATTGCAGAACTTGGTTGGTTCTATGACTACACCCTCTCAAATCTGACCATTGACAGTGTAACGGTATCTTTAGATGGTCGGCGTGCCGTGGTCGAAGCAACTCTCGAAGAATTAGCCCATCTCATTGATGTAGGCCACCCAGAACACAACGATTCCAACAGAAAAACTTATACAACAAGGTATGAGATGTCATATTCCAATTCTGGATGGAAGATTACCAAAGGTGCTGTTCTTGAATCATAATTGGATAGTTGTAATATATGAATTAACCTGTAAATGCATCATTCCTTCTGGACTGTTGTTTAGCATAGCCTTTTTGGTGTCTGTGATGAGGAAGAGACGCTTTGTCAATGCTTATGGAATTTATTGTGTTAATAATCCATTTTTAACTTGGTTTTGAGCAGTTCAATTCTTGTTTAGGAGAAATATTGAACGCTAGAGTGTTCTTGAGGAACTACATTTCAAGCAAGGATTTACTACTATTTTTTTGTTGCAAATTTTCAATCTTGAAGTTTGATAGATGGATGATAGGAGTATAGAATCAAAGTGTGAGATCTCATGTTGATAGGAGAGAAGAACGAGTACTAGCAAGAACGTCAGACCCTAAAGGAGGTAGATTTTGAGATCTCACATCGATTGGAGAGGGAAACGAAACATTCTTTATAAGGGTATAGAAACATATTTTTAATAGACACGTTTTAAAAATCTTGAGGAAAAGCACGAAAGAAAAAGTTCTAAAAATCTTGAGGGAAAGCACGAAAAAAAAAGTCCGAAGTGGGTTTAATCTGTGGCAATTCTCTTTAGGATAACCTCAAATCTTTGTACAAAAAAGAGCACGAGAAAATGATAAAAATAGAAACTAAACTAAATTTGAACGCATGAAATATTAAAATAGAATAGAATGAATCTCTTAAATACATGAACTAAAATAATATTTTAATAAATTTTTTTACCCATAATTGAGTGGTTCATAATCCTTCAATCCTTCACCTATAAAAGTTCTCACTCCCCCATCACAGGAGGGGAAAAAAATGGTCCTCTTTCCAAGTATTTATATACACATGAACAAGAAGTCAAACAAATAGATTGACAATAATACATCATCAACAAAGATGAACACAACACAACATTGTCCATCTTCTAGAAAAATTTTCATTACATACACGTCAAAATATGTACTAATAAAATAATGGTTCAAACCTCAAAATGGAAGAGACATATTCCTTTTCCATGGAAAAGATCTCTGATCCAATGATTGTAGCGAGAAGGACAGCCCAAACATCTCCCTTGACACCTGCGATGGTTCCACAAATCCAAGCAGCTTGGCCACAAGGGCTGCACTCTCGTGTATATGGTCGAAGTCCTTTGTTCTTGTCCATAGCTTTTTTGCCAATTGTATGCTTCTTTGCTTTGTCTTCAAGTCTATTCCCCACTTCTTGTAAAGGGTGTCTCTTTCTTTCACTGAGAACTTCTTCTTAATTCGCTTCACCAACATCTCTCTCTCTCGGTTTAGAGTCTTCAAGCTTCATTGTTTAACAAAGTATTTTAGTGTACTAAGTAAGGATGGTTGAGGGTGGTTGAGGATTGTTGGGAGTAAGTCCCACATTGGCTACTTTAGGGAATTATCATGTGTTTATAAGTAAAGGAATACATCGTCATTGGTATGAGGCCTTTTGGAGAAGCTCAAAGCAAAACCATGAGAGCTTATGCTCAAAGTGGATAATATCATACCATTGTAGAGAGTTGTGATTCCTAACATGGATATAGGTTAGTCAAATGTTTTTTCTTTTATTCTGCAAATAAGAACATACCTCGAAGCTTGTGTGATGGCGTCATTCCTTCCAAATCCATTGGTTGATCGAGACATGGCTTCCCTTATAAAGAACAACCTTCTAAGCTCTACTTCCATGTATACTGCGTCTGAAGGGTCTCCTTTGAAAAGGATGAAGAAATAAGATCTGTGAACCAATGGTACGTTGCATGCATCCCAAAGCTCAATTATGTCTCTCTGTTGACCTTGGAACTCCAAAAGCCAATCTGAATGCGATTGAAAATCTTGTTCCTCCTCCAATCCAACATCTTGTGTGGTTTCTTTAGCTTCTTCCCTCTTGGGGGTCCTCCCCAGCCGCTGTCATGCACATACATTATGATAGTAAGATACAAAAATCCCGAAAAGAGTTCAAACCCCACATTTCTTGTTGAGAATTGTTGGGAGGAAGTCTCACATCGACTAACGAAGGGAATAATCATGGATTTATAAGCAAGGAATACATCTCCATTGGTATGAGGCCTTTTGGAGAAACCAAAAGCAAAGCCACGAGAGCTTATGCTCAAAGTGGATAATATCATACCATTGTGGAGGTTCGTGATTCTTAACACGGTATCAAAGCAATTCCCTTAATTTAGTCATGTTAATTAAATCCTCAAGTGTTGAACAAATAAGTTGCTAGCCTCAAAGGTGTAGTCAAAATTGACTCAAGTGTCGAACAAATGGTGTATTTTGTCCGAAGGCTCCAAAGAAAGGAATCGAGTCTCGATTAAGGGGAGGTTGTTCGAGGGCTACATAGGCCTCAAGGGAGGCTCTATGGTGTACTTTGTTCGAGGGGAAGATTATTGAGAATTGTTGGGAGAGAGTCCTACATCGGCTAATTAAAGGGATGATCATGGGTTTAAGTAAGGAATACATCTCCATTGGTATGAGGTCTTTTGGGTAAACCAAAAGCAAATCACGAGAGCTTATGCTCAAAGTGGACAGTGTCATACCATTGTAGAAGGTCGTGATTCCTAACATGATTCATTCAATACAAAAGAAAGGAAAACTCACCGAACCGTGGGTTGATCGCTTCCTTAACCGATTTTTGCTCTTTCCTTTTTTCCCAGTAGCGAAGTTGAGAACACTCGTATTATCATCGTCATCTTCTTCTATTATTTCCAAAGCCTTATCTTCCGAAGGACGATTACATACCGATTGTGACTCCTCGGTTTCTAAATTTCCGCAGCTTAAACCGCGCTTTCTCCGACTACCTTCTGCTAGTCCAGAGAAGTTTATTTCAGATCCATTGTGCTGAGCTTTCTTATCCGTCTCTGGCTTCTCAACCCAAGTAGAAGGTGGGAGTTCCATTAGAACAGTCAAACAACTTTTGCTTCTGGTCAACTTTAAGTTTTGAAACCGATCTTTTGCTGCTTCAATTGAGCTGAATGATTGCTCAGCAGGATAAAAATTTACAATACAATTTAATGTTCTCTTCGGCTCCGCAGTGTTCGGCATAAAACCACCGCTAACATAATCTTTGTTGATTGTAACTATCTCCTTGTTCTTCCTTTGTGGGGATGTCACTTGATTAGTGCGAGAAGTACTGATCATCTGTCCTTCATTGTCTTCCAATCTAGCTAAAGCCAACTCAACATTTTCATTTGGTGTTTGGTTTGATTCCTCCAGCTCAATGCATTGAACATCCTTATAACTATCTTCGGAATTTGCTCGAACACGTTGAGCAACCTCTTCCCAGTTGTTATAAGGATAAGGTCCAGCCAACTCAGGAGTGCTGCTATCTAATAGAAAATCATCATCATGACTCGTAGAAAATAGAGGATTAACCTTGTGAGGGCTATTCTCTTCTTGTCCTTGTCCATTAAATGTGTCAAAAGTCTTGAGACTTGAGTCATCAGAACGTAGATCTAGATCTAGCTCAACCAGATCCGGCACTGTTGCTGGCACTGTTTCCGACATTGTTTCCGGCACTGTTTCCGACATTGTTTCCGACATTGTTTCCGGCACTATTTGGACTGTGCTTTCACTTCGCTTAAATATCCTATCTTCTCCAACCGAATGCAATAAATTCTCGATACGATACTGAGCAAGATCACGCTGCCGAGTCAATTCCTTGATCTCTTTGTCCATCTGAGTAGTTGTAAATGAAATAAAATAAGACACAATTACAAGAGTGACCACATAATCACATAAATCAGATGGTAAAGAAAAAGCTTCCATCTTCTACTTGGTTTTGACAGTTCTACTTCAAATTGTTGGCTCTAAAACCATTCCATTTTCATTAAAGCGCCCTCCTAAAGCATCACTTTTCTTTTAGAGTCAACAATTTGAAACAAACAGAGCTGATTTCTTGTTTCATTGTTTTCTGTTGTTCCATGTATGAAATTACATAAGAGGCTCTTTAACCAAATTTCGATGCAGAGAATGTAGTATACTCTGTTCTGCCTGATTCAATTTACTTTTCTTTTTGTGGAGAGAAATAGTTTCAATTAGATTTCATGCATAAAAAGAAGATCTACTATCTACTTGAGTAGCAAATTGAATAGTAGTTGGAGCCAAATCCTCACCTGCTCAATTAGAATTTCCTTCTCTTTCAACAAGGAATTAGAATCACCTTTGACAGGAAGTGGTTTTATGTTCTTCATCTCACTCTCAAGTCTAGCCAATTCCTTCTGCAACTGCTTCACCAATGCCTTATCTGACACTACCACATTTACATGTGCGTTTGTACTCACCTCCTTTGCACAAGTAGCAAATAGCAATGTGTTTCTTGATTGTTCAACATGGCTACGTGCAGGACTCATAGTACAAATGATAGCTGTTCGACCATTCCCCCCTAGAGAATTCTGCAGTATGCGTGTTAACTTGGAATCTCTATAAGGTACGTGCCCAGTCCTTCCTTTGCTGCATTTCATTCATAACAAAGAATAAAGGATTACATGTTGAAGATAGACCACGCATTTGATTACTATTTTTTGTTTCTTGCTATATATTTCTAAGAAATGTTCCCAAAATCTGTGGAAACAAATCTTTGGCCTCATTTCATGGTGATTTTGTTGAAATTTTCTATTTCTTCTTCTTCTTCTTCTTGATAGTGTGATGGGTAATTAAAGACGAAAGGGAAAGAAAAGAAAACCTTAATTTTCGAATAACAGTTCCCAGGGACAGCAAACTCCGGTTTATATGGCAACCTTCTTTGAGCCTTGTACCAGCCGACATTGTTTGGGAAGCTCGTTCACTTCCCGCAAGATCAACAAAATTCTGTACAAACAAGAAACAAATATGAAACCCCAAGTCCAGATTATTATCCCTTCATCTTGCCCTTCCCTACAGGGCTTCACTTCCAAGAATGCACCCATATTTACCACTGTAGCCGTCAGACTGCTCCCACTTTCTGACTTCTTAAATTTCCGAGCTGAGCTTTCAATTGTCTGTAAAAAAACAAAAAAACACATAACCATAAGCTTTAAACATGAAATATTGTTTGTTTACTGTTTCATGTTTCTTAAAATAAGGTTCGATTCCCTACCTAAATTTTTTTAGTTTTTTTTTTATTTGAAGGAAAAGAAAATGAGTAAACTTAGTGGCATACTTACTAGTCTTAAGATTTGATGGGATCTGGAGCTAGCTTCATTCAAAGTCGTCTCCCCAATCTTTCTTTGAACTGCATAAAATGTAATCTTAAAATTGTTCACAAATGCTCGTGGGATGAATAATAATAAATAAAAACTACATTCCGACTAGTGGAAATTTGAATTTCTATCGATTTATGTAACAGTCCAAGCTCACCGCTAGTAGATATTGTCCTCTTTCGACTTTCTCTTTTGGGTTTCTCTCTCAAGATTTTTGAAACGCGTATATTAGAGAGAGGCTTTCTACACTCTTATAAAGAATGCTTCGTTGCCCTCTCTAACGATGTGGAATCTCACAATCCACCCCTCTTCGAACTCAGCATCCTCACTGGCACTCGTTTCTCTCTCCAATCGATGTGGGATCTCACAATTTATGAATCCCAACATCCTCATTGACACTCGTTCCTCTCTTCAATCGACGTGGGATCTCACAATTTCTCTCTTAAATATCTATTTTTTCTCTTTTAAAACTTAGTCAATTCTCTTAATATTATGTCACACAAAAATTTATGATAAACTAAATTTAAAAAAGCATAAGATAATTAACTGTAACTATTCCAACATTAGAAATTTAAAAAGGTTAACTATTGGAGACTAAATTTTCAATTTAACAAAAAAAAATAAAAAAAAATAAATAAGGATTTGTATGATGCTAGTAAAGGAAGAGTTACAAATTATTTTCACCTTCACAAAAGGAAAGAAGCTCTTGGAGATGGTTCCTATCTTTCAATGTCTCCTCTGTAAGTTTCTCAACAACTGTTCCTTTCTGTAACATTAAGGCTATGCCGTTAGAATCTCTATGATTGTTCATCAAGAAGACAGCAAAAAGAAAAAATAAGACAGCAAGTTATGCACCTCAGGATCATCAAGAAGTCTAAGTGGGACATTTTCAAAGCTAAGGAGATCTCTCACAGCTTCATTGTATATCTCAATCGCTGAGAACTTGAGCACATATTCTCTTTCTTGATGCTACCGTCCATAAATTTGGGTATTAAATTTGATTCAACATCAACAAATTGATAAACTGAGATGTATCTAAATGAAACTTACCGTCTCCATGTAATTATAAATGTCTGCCACAGAATACTCCGTGATTCCATTCATGGTGTATGTCTTTCCACTGCTTGTTTGCCCATATGCAAAAATTGTTGCTGAAAGTAAGAGCCGTGGCTAAATATTTTGATGATGTTATAATATGAAAGGCATATCCAGAAACAGAAAGAGAGAGTTGTTGTTTTACAGTTAATGCCATTGACGACTGAAAGAACAACTTCCTTAGCCCCTTCTTCATAAACTTGCTTTGTCGTACTGTCACATCCAAATACTCTATCTAATCCACCAAATGTATAATCAATCAGAAATTTGGAATTCAGATCTAAAAAATTCATAAATCGGCCAAACAAGCATTTATGTTCTTACCAAATGTGTAAGATTGGGGATACATAGCTCGGTCTGGTAAAGTACTTCTAAATATGATGGAGTTATTGTTGAGACATGCCCAATCGGACGAATCGTTCTTCGTCAATTCCTTTTCGTTCAAAGGCCTTAACCTAATCGAAACACGAATCGTCTCTTCTAGACCATTGGAGGCTTGAATAACTCCTTGTATTGGCTCCTTGGCTTCCATTATCGTTCTAGGATGCTCAAAGCCTCAAGAATCTTGAAATAGAAAACGAGATTGATAGAGAAATGTACCAGAAACTCGGATCGAGCGGGGGAAAAACGAAAAGGAAATTAGGCTTCGTCCCGCCTTCTCGTCCTTTTTCTCTCCAGAAGAAGATCTGAAAAGGAAAAACAGAGGAAAAGAAGAGGAAGAGGGGAAGGAGAAACAAAAATGGCGGAACACCTACAGAGGTTTTGCCTCCATTCCCGTCTCTCTCCGCTTCCCTCATTCCTTCCCTCTTTTTCTCTTCTCCCCTCTCCCTAACTTCGGATTGCAACTGACCGTTGAAGAATAACAACCATCTCCAACTGTATCTATTGTCTATTTACCTTTTTGCCCTTCATCGTCGTTAGATTTTCGAAACCTCCGACATTTTGGTCGATTGACCGACCATTTTTCTTAATTAATATTGCTTCTAGTAAATATGTATTTTTGAAATATAAATTTAAATCGAACCTATTTTAAATAAGATAGGATCCAAATATTATCGAACTAAAATTAAGGGTTAAATTGGTAATTTAGTTTGAATATATTGGATAAACTAAATTTTACCGGCTTTGTTGTCGAAAGAGATAAAATAAAATTTTATAGATGGGATATAAAATTTCAATAATATCTTTAAATTATTAAAAGATATATTTAATTTTAAAATTTATCGATTAAATTAGACTTATTCAAAATTCTATATATAGAACAGTATTTTTTTTTTTTTACAATTAAAAAAAATTACTTTTTTTTTAGAAGTTACGATATTATATCTAATCTTTTATACATGTTTCCTAACATTATCGAGTAGGAAAAAAATATTAAAACATTTAGATAAAAAATCAACGTATTTAAATGACATTCTTACAAACTCTAGGGAGGTGTTTTTGTCATCACCATGTTGGTCGAAGCCTTTAATTTTTTTATTGAAATAATCATTTTTATAAAAACCAAATTTTCTTAGAGAAATAATGGAGGAATACAAAGGTATACAAAAAATGAAACTACGAAAACGGAAGGTAAATTATAAAAATCACCTCTGATTAAGAGAAATAAGACCTACCGGATTATTTCAAAAAGGGTTTGGGTTAGAAAAGCAGACCATACATAAAATCTAACAAAGGACTAAACTTTGTTCATCAGCGTCTGACCCTGAGATGTGATGAGTAACGCGTAAGAACCTACTCTTGGGAGGGGAACAACGGCTGGAAACGGCTGGCTAATTCCCTGTACACTGAGGAGCAAAAGAAAGAATCCTCCCGAGGAGGGGCTCATGTTTGATTAGCCACTCTGAGATCTCTCAGCCCAAAGACCGTGTTCTAATGTTCCTCGGACTCCAAAGATCCCACATAATGTCGCACATCAGTGCTTTTCACAAAAACTTGGAGAATGAAGTAGTCGATCCACTCTTGCTGCACCTATGAGATCGCACTCGTCTATCTTGTATGCCTCATTTATGCTGGTGGCATACCCGACCATAAGGATATTTATGCTGGTGCATACCCGACCATAAGGATATAAAAAGACAGTGTAGCAAAGGGCCAAGCGTACCTCCTTGGGATTATCCACTCAGAATTATGTAGAGCACTTTATGAATGTCTATGAAATTTCACCAAAGATGATGAAAACGAGAACTCTCGCCCATTTATACGTTGGAGGGACTGTTTCCTATTTTGTGCAGAAACCATTTCTAAATCACAGACTGAAACAGATGAAATCAAGAGACATTACTTGAGTGCAACTGCCGTAAAGTTTCGTTGTTCGTTCTGACAACGCCTAAGCCAACTCTACTACCAAGAACAGAATGTTGAAATCAAAATTACCAGTAATTACCGCACGAGCATTCGCCGTTCTTGAAATGGTGAAACCTCTTCCCATCTCTCACGACTATCTCCCTCCGCACCACTTGAGACATGAACTTGAATGCATTATGGCAATCCCCACAGATCCTAAGGTTCTTGAACACCCTGACCGTGGCGCCTGGAGGGAGCTTCATTAGCCCAAACCCAACCGCAAGCCTCTCGCTATGAGTAGCCAACGCATACTCTTTGTGCTCAGATTCCATATCATGTAACACATACTTCGTGTCTGGAACATATCCTGCTTTCTTCATTTCAAGGCTCAATTCCTCTAGATAATTGTACACAGACAGCACCTCAGGGTGCACTGTATCATCCACCAAGAACACATGAACCTTGTTCTCAACCTCAGTCCAACTACAAGCAGGCTCCTTTTTAACCCCTCGGTCCCTCATTAGTTTTCGCACACGAGCGACATCATTCCACCGGCCAACATTGGCGTACATGTTCGACAAAAGTACATACGTCCCGTCGTGTTGTGGCATTAGCTCGAAAAGCTTTTCAGCAGCTTCTACTCCTAAATCCATGTTCCCATGAATTCGACAACCAGCAAGAAGAGCCTCCCATATTGGTGCCCCGGGTTTGCAAGGCATGGAGTCGATGACATTCTTTGCATCAGAGAACTTCCCCGCTCGACAAAACAAATCAATCATCCGAGCATAATGATCCTCACCAGGAGTGATACCATAATTTTCGAACATTGAGTTAAAATAGCGGCGTCCTTCTTTGACCAAACCTGAATGACTACACGCAGAGAGAACTGTGAGAAATGTTATTCTATCAGGAAGTATACCCTCTTTCAACATTTGTTCATATAGTTCTGTTGCTTTTACGCCATGGCCATGTTGTCCAAGTGCTGCAATCATTGCATTCCACGAAACCGAGTCGACGAATGGCATGGTGAGGAACACAGATCTGGCAGCTTCAACGACTCCACATCTTGCATACATTGAGATCATTGCATTGCCAATTGAGAGGCTTGAATCATGGCCAAGATGGACAAGCTGAGCATGGAGCTGGCGGCCATTCTCCAATGATCCAAGCACAGAACAAGCTGTAATTGCTCCTGCAAAGGCATAATCACAGGGTTCATAACCATCTAACCTCATTCGATTAAACAGATTCAAACCCTCTTCTCCAAATCCATTTTGAGCTAATCCTGAAATCATCACAGTCCATGTAAGAAGGTTTTTCTCTGGCATTTGAGCAAAGAAAGACTTCGCTTCTTCCATACGCCCTGCATTGACATACCCTGATAAGATTGCATTCCAAGAAACAATATCTTTAACAGGCATCTCATAAAAAATGTTCCGAGCCCCATCAACTTTACCATATTTCCAGTACAAAGTAATCAATGAATTACTCACAGACAATAAAAAATCATGATTTGGGTTCAGCTCATTTTTAAGAATGTAAGCATGCAACTCTTTTCCTAGTTGAAAAAAACCACCGTTGGCACAAGCACTGATTACACTCGTATAGGTGAACTCATCGAGCTCGACACCAAGAAAACGCATTTTCCTAAACAGTGTCAAGGCATCCTCAAAAAGACCATGATGCACATATCCAGAGATCATTGCATTCCAAGCTACCCCGAGCTTTTCAGTCATCGTGTCAAGAAGTTCACGAGCGCCATTCAAATCATCATTCCGCACATACCCAGTAATCAATGTTGTCCATGTTAGCTCATCCCTTTGTGGCATTTCATCAAACAGTTTCCTAGCTGATGCCATCAGTGACGAAGATGACACCAACGGCGAAGAGGCACATTTAACATAAACAGATAGAAGAGCATTCAACACTGAAGAAACAAGCCCAGTTCCAGATTTCACCACCGCACCATGCATTTGGCCACACTGCTGCTCATTATCAACAATAAGCGCTAAAGCACTGAGCACGCTTGTAAATGTAAAGTCATCAGGCCGAAAATTGCTTCGTCTCATAGCATGAAACAGTCCAATAGCAGAATGACCATCAACGTTATGCGAAAACCCAGTAATCATTGCATTATAGAAAATAGTATCCCTCATATTCAATGGAGTTCGATTGAATATTTCTCGAGCCATATTCAAATTTCCCAAGTTAGAGTATGCCGTAATCAATGTAGTCCTGGCTACAGCATCTGGATTGGGAATTTCGTCGAACAGTTGGCGGGCATACACAAGATTAGACGATTTCCAGTATATATCAAGCAGACGATTGACAAGGTGGCCACGAAGCTTGAATCCCGAAACAATCATGTGGGCATGAACAGTCCGAGCAAGTGAAAATGAAGAGGAATTTTGTGGGCAACAGAGTTGCAATTGTGCGGCGTAACGGTTTGCCAAAACTCGGACATCTATGACATTTCTCATGGTGTTTGAAGGAATTAAAAATCACCGTTCGAACTTACAGAGTAAAATCAAAGTAGAGAGTGAGAAATGCATCAAAGGCGTGGTGATGAAACATGGGCAATCAACATCAAACCTGAAAATGCTGAGGATCCTCCATAATGTTGCTGAAGTTCCCTCCATAATGTTGCTGAAGTTCCCTCCATAAGCGATGCAGGATTTCAAATTAAATTTGGCATCATTCGAACTTTACCCAACTTCCGAATGAAATCAAAATGATGTATACGTACTCAGCAACAATCGATTGAGAGAGAGGGGTTGCAGAAGAGTGAGTGTGGACCTTGACCGACGAGCAGAAGAATGCAGTGGGCAATGGTGCGTGCCGGCGTGGTTGAAGGAGAGAGTAAGATAGGGAGAGGAAAAGAAAAGCACGATGCCGATGGAGGGTGCGACTGCGGCGGAGAGGGTGCGCGGGCGTGGGTGGTAGCGGAGAGGGAGTTATTGAGAAGAAATAAGGCGGGGAAACTCACCATTGCACTCATTCTCCAACTAACCCACAATTAAGCTAAACCAATTCGTTCTTGCATCCCCTACCGTCTGCTCGAATCTCTAGCCTTGATTTTAAGAGAAGGTTTTAGAAAACAAGAATAGAGAAAGATTTTTAAAATAGAGATTTTTGAAAGTAACTTTATATAAGCAACGAAGAGAGAGAAATAATAAAGTTGGGTAAGGAGAAGTTGACAACTAGACATAATATTTCTGAAACGTCAATACTTCCTACAAATATAAAAGTAAAATACTAAAATATTAAAAGTTATGAAGGGTTGGATTTATCATAGGCATGCAGCCATGGGCAACAACATGCCTTGACGAACATGACCGACACGTGAGAGCAACAACTAGAGGGAGAAGAAAGAAAAGGGTGGCGAATATATATATCTTAAATACATTTAAAATTCTAGAAATTTTGAAAAAAAATCTAAAAAAATATATTTTTAAATTAAAAAAAAGTTTTAAAAAAAATATGAAACTCTCCTATCTGTTTCAAAAATAATAATCATAAGTTTATAATTAAAAAATATCAAACTTTTTAAAATACAAATTTTATGAGTACTTTTATTAATTTAACTTATTTACACTCGGATTTAAAGAGAAATTACTAAAAATATGGTAGTTCATAGTAATAAAATTTTGAGTCACACGTCCTTGTGTGAATATTTATACGTCTATTTAAGCACCCATCATTGACTTGGGTCGATATTCTATTGCCCTGAATCAAATTCGAGTCTATCGAGTGAAAGCTAAGTATCCTAGCTAATTAAGCTATCTTGATTAATGGATTGATTTCAATGACATATATTTATTTTATTTCAATACTTATTAATAAAAAGTACAATAATTATTTATATAGTTCGGATTAGGTATAACACTAATAATAACTATTATATGAAAATTAATTTATATCATCCATACACCCTGTATTAGGTTCATCGTTGACAAAATTGATATACCTAAAAAGAAAATTAAAAAAAAATAGTTTTATTATTTCTCTCTTGATTTCTCATTGTTACTCCATAATGATACTTAAAAAAAAAAAAAAAAAAAAAAAAAAAAAAAAAAAAAAAAAAAAAAAAAA